TCTGTTGTTCTTGTTTCTGAGACAGGGTCTTACTATGTATACAAAGGCTGGCCTAGAACTAAGAGATCTGCCTGCCCCTGACTCCCAGGTACTGGGATTAAAGATGTATATAGCACTCCCTGCCCATGAAAACTTGAATGTATTTTTTCTACTTTTAATCGTGAGTACATGAATCCGTACACTAAAGGTCAGGTGCCTGCGATGTCCATTCACATGAAGCCGGATAGCCATTGAATTGTCCTGTGAGCCTTTGGGAAAACTTACCTATGCAGCTGGCTCTACTCTAGCTAGCTTAACTCAGGATCACTTTGTTCCTCTGTCTGTCTGTCTGTCTGTCTGTCTCTCTCTCTCTCTCTCTCTCTCTCTGTGTGTGTGTGTGTGTGTGTGTGTGTGTGTAGTATCTGAAGTTTTGTTCTGTAATTTCTGTTACCCACAATCTACTATACTCCCAAAAAAATTTAATGGAAAATTTTGGAAGTAACAATTTGTATGTTTAAAACTTACCTACTGTTTTTGTTTTAAGTAGCATGTCCTTTCTGAAATTACCCTTTTGTCCAGTGTATTCATGTCAAGACTGTGCAGTAGCCAGGGATTGTATCAAAGTAACACATGTTTTAGTGATGCTAGCCATTCGGTTACTACAGAGAAAACCATAAACTGCGTTCTTTAAGTGAAAAGATGAAGTTCCCAACTTAATAAGAAAACTTCCAATGCTAAGGTTGGTGAGAAAGAACCAGGGAGTCTGTGAATTTGTTCAAGGAAAAGCAACTTGACCTGGTTATGTGAGTTCATCTCAAATGCCAAGTGCTCCATGAGGGTTATAGTCTTCACTGGAGACCGTGGGATGTGCACTGTCGATGGGGTGCCCACTGCACAGATGAGTACCTGTGTCAGGCTTGCTAACCTTGGGGGATCGTCGCTCCTCAGGCTCCTCACTGTAAACCTTCTTGGCAGATTCTCGAGTTCGAGGGTGGTTCCTGCTGGACTCGTACCTCCCCACCTTCATCCTCACCATTGTGTATCTGCTCTCAATATGGCTGGGCAACAAGTACATGAAGAACAGGCCTGCTCTTTCTCTCAGGGGAATTCTCACCTTGTACAACCTCGGAATCACACTGCTTTCTGCATATATGCTGGTGGAGGTAAGTGTGTGTGGCCTGCACTCTGGCTTGCTTCACTCAACAAGTATCTGAGTGTAACAGCCCATTCTGCCCCACATTCAGGGGCCCACTATGTCCCATCCTGAGCTGCTGCTCCGGTCCATGGATCAGGGTCTAGCAAGAGAGAGAGAGTGGGGATGGAAGGGCAAGAGGCACAAAGAATGGAGACAAGACAGAGAGTCTGATCAAATCTATCTCTATTGAAAGGAAATCCTGGGTATTTATATGCTTTTCCACGTGCCTTGCCCTCGTGGACAAGCAGGGGAACACAGCTGAAGGCACTATGTCACGTTCCTTGCAGTGTGGAGACCACGTACACCTTGCAGCTGGGGGCACTAAGCAGCAAAACAAGATATGTGAGAAAAACAAGATGTTTATCAGAGTGTGCTCAGCTGTTTCGGGCTGTTGAAAAACAAGTCTCTTGTCAGGGTATATGGCCTGAGATGGCTGCAAAGATGATAGCTGCTTTCTGCTAGGGGTCGGCTCCCAACATCTGAGTTTGAGAACTGGTCAAGTATACCTTCCAGAGCTGTGCTCGGTTGCAGTTAGTGCTTCACTATCCTGTCAGAATCTGAGGAAGTTTTTCGTGCACTGATACTCTGCCTATCCCAAGTGTCAGAAGCCCTTGTTTCTGACTTAAGCTTGGGCCTGTTTCTGTGTTCCTCAGCCAAATTAAGACTAGAATCATGATTTGGCTTGAAGGGCTTTGGAAGATCATGTCTTGTTCTTTTCTTCCCTTACATACTGTATGACTCTAAGGCTTAGAAGTCTTACCCTGGGTTGTAAAGTCAAATTTCACATGCAGTTAGTGTACAAGTCCATGTACAGAGATGCTGATGTTCCCATGATGAGTCCTACACAGTCTTTGGAATGTGCTGGCAAGCCTGGCTCGACATTCGTCGGCTCTAGGCTCTAGCTGCATACCAAGCCTTCATCCTTTAGCTGCTTCTCAACCTGCAAAGCATCAAACCAAAGGCAGAAGTAATGGTCACTTTGCCCAATACCAGGAGAAATCTAAAAGTATTCTACTTGCTCTAGCAAAAATAAAGAGAAAGGGGACAAAAGCAGTCACTTTTAAGGAAAAATTAGGATAAAGCCATCCATAAAGGTTATAATGGCTAGTAGTGATCCAAGTTGGACTTTTCCACTGTCCACAGTTTTAAGAGGTGGCACATGCTTGTCTTAAAATGCAGGTTTCTCACTGTGACTTTATTTTGTGCACTAGCTAATGTGCACCATTTTATAGTTGCCATTAGTTGTTGCCATAGTGACCAAAATGAAGCACTGGTGGGTGGAATGTGGGGAGAGGAAAGCTGTGTAAACAGTCTGAGTATCTCACTGCACAGGAACCACCAAGTCTTCTGACACAGAGAGGAAGTTTCAGGTTCTTTAATAAAGTGTAAAGTTCTTTACATGGTAGATGTAAGCTGGTCAGATAAAGTGATGGATTTAGTTTCTTTCTCTTGACACAGGCTTTTTCTATGTAGCTCTGGCTGTCCTGGAACTCACTATGAAAACCAGGTTGGCCTTGAACTCATAGAGATCCATCTATCTCTGCCTCCCTGCTGCTGAGAATAAAAGTGTATGTTGCTGTGCTAGACTTAGTTTCTTTACATGGCTGAAGGGAGAGAGACCCTCCCTTGATCAGGAGCCAGCCTGGAAGCACACAGCCTTGCAGGCTGCAGCCGCAAGTCATTTGGATTAAGGTGAAAAGGAAGGGCCAAAGCTGACAGACGGACTTTAGGTGAGGTTTGTAGTTACCGAGTCCATACCAGCTTACTCTTCTTTGACAAGCTTGTTGAATTTCTTTCAGTACAAAGGTTAGTGATGGCACTGGTACACAACCCAGTTAGAGGATTGGGACTAGCCCAGGAGGCAGCTTCCTGAGGCCTGCTTCATAATTGTGTGACAGTTACTAAGTGGTTACAAAGGTAGAACAGGGTTGGTGACAGCCTGAAAAACAGAATATCCCTCTTCACACTAAGGGTTAGGGAACGAGACAGGGATGGCTAAACGACAGGCTTTTTATTAGAGACTAGTGGGGAAGGTGGTAGGCATCAATCACACAAGTTATTTGTTTAGCAAGGAACACAGATACAGTGAAGAAATCCTTTAAGAAGTTTCTGACCTCTTTTAATATCTGTAAAATTATAGTGTACATCTCATAGAATTATTGAAACTGAAGGGATTAGAATTATAAATGTGAGGAAACTACACTGTGTTGTAGCCGCAGACAGCTAAATAACTCTTACTAAAGTGCCAGGTCCTCTCGCTTTTGGGTGACCTGAAAGGATGCATTAAGGAGAAGAGGCATGTACTGGGATCTGCTCACCCGTGAGAGGTGATCCCTTGCTAATGTGTGAAGATAAAACTGGGTCTGATTCTGGACCATGTCTGCCCTGATGGCGAGGTGACGTTAGTTGGGACGTGTCATTCATTATGGCTGCTTCCTTGTTGGGATGTGTTTTTCAGTGTCGCCGTATCCTTGTGTTGACTTTTTCTTTTTCTTGGTGCTTTGGCAGCTCATCCTCTCCAGCTGGGAAGGAGGCTACAACTTGCAGTGTCAGAATCTCGACAGTGCAGGAGATGGTGATATCCGGGTGAGTCTTTTTCCATTGAAAAAGAGCAGAGGCTTCCCCCACTGCAGTAGGAACCTGGGATTGCATCAAGAGACTTTAGCTCTGGTGAAAAGGCTTAGAGACACACATGTCTGAGAAATGACCAGGTGATGGACTTACCGAGCACATCCCTATAATGGATACCTCTCCCAGACACAGTGAGAATAGACAGCCTCAGAACTGCCATTGCTGCCTCGGGAAATAGTTAAGTGAAAACCAGCCACTTGCAGACTCTGTTTATTAGGAATGATTTATTGTGAGAAAGTGTCTGCATTTACTCACATTTTAAAAAGAGAAATGGTGGCAGAAGCAAGCAGAAGCTAGTTAGAACAGCCTCCTCTGAGGAAGCGGCAGACGGGGATAAAGATGGAAGCCACACTGCCCTCAGCATACCTTGTGCTGTTTGATTCTAGAATCATCCTCTTGTGTAAATTGTACAACAAAATTAAGTTTTAAAAGGAAACAAAGCAAGTTTCCTCCTCCAAATGTTGGAATTAGTTAAGGTAAATAAATTCACACGCACAGGAAGGTACCTGACAGAAATTACTACATGGAGAGGATAGCCCCGGGTGGGTAGCATCTTTACAGAATCCAGAGTTCTTTGTTGCTATTATTAATAAAAATGCATTGCTGCTCTCAGACAGCTGTGGAACACTGAAAGATAAAGTGTATAATAAACTAACATAAGTGGTAACTAGTTCTTGAAAAAAGGGTTTCTATTTTTTTAAGTAGTGAAAATTAAACCCAGTAATCACAGATGCAAACTGGGAATGTCATGGTTAACCTCATAGAAGGGGACATATTTCATAGCTTTATCTGCAGAAAAGATCTCTTTAATCTGTAACAGCCAAAAGCACTCAGCTTGACTTTTACAGAGAGTTGTTACCTAACACAAAAGCTAAGTATTCTTAGTTCCAGGTTTGGGTCAGGAAATGTAAGGTGACTCTAGGACATCCTGTGACCCTCAGGAAAGGACTACACATGACTATTGCACATGACTATTGGGTCATGCATGATTACAGGAACTGTCTGAAAGACCCCCTCTCATTGGCTATCAAGGACAGTTGTAGCATCAGGAAAAACACTGCTTTGGATCAGCTGAAATACACCGAGTGCAGGCTTTAGAAGGAAGAAAGGACAGCTGTTGTTACCTTTCAATGTTGGTATGACACCACATCATTGCAAGAAAAAGTTAAGGAAAAGAATTAAACGTACTTCTCATCTTTTTATGTGATTTTCCAAATACACAAGGGGGGAAGTGTTAGGAAAGGAATATCTTAAGTCACAGTAGAATCAGAGCATCACTTGAAAGACTTTTATCACCTGAAGGAGAGGGCATCCCCTCTGGTGCTGGGAAGCACTGCTGGATTCACGTCACCACTGCACTTTCAGAGCTCTGACTACAGAGGTGCGGTTAAGGCAGCCTGGGACTGGAAAGGTTCTGAGAAAAAGAACGGAGGTGGCTGGGTACGGCTCCTGAGAGAAGGTGGCTGGCAAGAGGAGGGTTAGTGAAGGGTGGCTAAAATGTGTGAGACACAGTGGGGGCAGAGAGGCAGGTGACCACACGGAAACTTTGCAGGAGGCTGGTGGAGGGTCCTGTCCTTAGGTGGGAATCATGAATGAATAGCTGGGGGTGTGCAGGAGTAACTCGATTGGATGAATGTTTGCGAAAGACCTCATCCGTTGTCGAGAGGGCAGGACTGCGCGGAGTAAGAGGAAACTGGGGGAAAGAACAGAGCAGCAGTGTTCTCCGAGGGAGGGCTGGAGGAAACACAGGCAGGAGGCAGAGCGCTGGCCATGGGGCGGAGCTGGGGCGGAGCTTTGGCACGCCATCACCGTTCTCCCTCCTTGAACTTGTTACAGGTAGCCAAGGTCTTGTGGTGGTACTACTTCTCCAAACTAGTGGAGTTCCTGGACACGATTTTCTTTGTTCTTCGAAAAAAGACCAATCAAATCACCTTTCTTCACGTGTATCACCATGCGTCCATGTTTAACATCTGGTGGTGTGTTTTGAACTGGATACCTTGTGGTCAAAGTAAGTCATTGGTAACTCTTGGATCTGTGGAATGAGTCTCACAAGACCACTAGCTCACCTCTTATGTGCAGCTTAGGAGAAATGGGAGCCCCTAAAGTCACATCACTACCGGAAGCTCTTGCCGGTGCCTATTTGTCTGGATTTTTGTGTTGGCAAAATCTGAGCAAGACCTTAAGTTTAAAAAATTGTTTCTTCACCAGGCCCCAATTGTCAGATGGGCATGGAGACAGAGGCCACAGCAGAGCCACCTAATTCCATAGAAGGCAGCCCGTGCCACCTCAGACAACACCTGCCACATTACCACTTCACTGGGGCACACATTATCATTTGAGCTCTTAAAGATTCTTGACTTCAAAGTCTGAGAACTTAAAACATCTCTGTGTGGCCCCCTAAAGCACTAGCTTTCAACTTTAAAAAAAAAAATGAGAACTACAATAGAAAACAGATTTTAAGTTGCATGCCTAAAATCCTAGCACTTGGCCAGCTGGGATAGGAGGGGCTGCAACATGGCAAGACCCTGTCTCAAAGCACGTTTATGCCTACCTAACTACACGCACACACACAATATGTGTTATCCAATAAACTAGTGAGCTCACTCATATCACATACTTTGCATGAACAAGAGCTTCACGAGGTGGCTCTGACCTGGCCCTACATGGCATGCTGTGTGTCTGGCTTTAATCCTGCTTTACTTTACTGTAAGCATGTGATGAAGTCTTCCTACATAGGCTTCTTCATAGCTCACAGGGAGAGGGCCAGAGTGCTCACCTATGACTGAACTAAAGAGAATGGTACTTTTTCATTTAAATCATTATGTTCTCGTGAGTTTGAAAATATTCTATGAAAAATTAGAGGGACAATGCTTAAAACATTATTTTAGAGGGCAGAGTATAGCTCGTCAACAGAGTACTTGCTTAGAAGGTAGAAGGACCACAAAAAAAAAAAAAAAACAACAGATCAAATTATGAATGATGGCTTTAAATTGTTCTTAAATGGGTGTGGTATGACACACCTGTATTTGTCCTTAGGAGTCAGGGTCTAGTATCGATGGTAGTAACTGCCAAGAACATGTGGGATGCAGATATCCCTTGATCTACCAAAGGGTCAAATGTAATAAACCCACTCTGGATTGAGAGCACCCTAAGTTAAAACTGCATGTAACGTGTTCAGTGCACTGAGTACCCCATCATCGCCCCAGGACAGAGAGCATCTCGGTGGTCTCGTCTCCTGGTTGCAGCATGGAATGGGCTACAGTCCTTTCCTTCACCCAGCGTCCAGAAAGAGCATTAGACCACGGTTACTAATATGAAGGTCAACAAGCAAGGCTCAGATTATGGTTTTTGCCAAATCTGCATCATTTTGATCGTGTCATTAAGCTGAAGGAGCATCATAGTGCCATTATGAAGTTGCACCATATCCCTGGCTCTCAGGGTACAAATGAAAACTCCTGTGCAGGGAATGAAAGTGCACAAAAAATGATGGCCGTCACCTTCTATGGATGGCCATCACCCTCCTCTGATGGCAGAAACAGTGCCACAATCGAGGAGGATTTTTTTTTTCAGTTTTAACAGTTTCATTAGGGATTTAAAATTCACATTGCACTGTGCAGAGTAGTCCTGTGAATATCTGTATACTGTATCTCCCAGATGATTGCAAAACTGTTAAGTACAGAGAACCCAGACAGGCAAATAAATATCACTCACCTTGCACTGCTGAGTACTCCCTAAGTGCTTGTTTCCACAGAAACCCAAGCAGCAGAGCTCATTCTGCCAGTATTTGCTGAGAATCTACTATATGCATCTCGCTGCTCCTTTCCTCCCCAGTGATCTGGTTACTAATGCAGGGTGAGAATCTGGGGCTAAAGAGTTTAAATTGACCAGTTAAGTAGCAGTAGGCAGTGCACTTTACTTCATGTGTGATAGGCTCTCTCACTCCCACCACAGCCTTGAGTGGGTTCAAACTGAGAAAATAGCTTGCAAGAACATGTAACTCACCGCTAGGCAACACTGAACCTCTCCTCCAGCCACAAGAGGCTCTGCCATCAACGCTCTGCAGCCAGACTTAAGCTCACCTTTCTCTGTCCCTCTGATTAGCTGGTAAAAATAACCTCTGTAGAGAAAGCAAGCCCTCTGCAGACACTGAGCGGCTGGTTCGTTTGGCTGAATACCTCTCCCAGTGCACTCCTCACACTCCTTGCAGTTCACACTTTTTGTCTAGGAGGTTTTATTAGCCTGGAGAGATGGCAGCAGTTGGAGGTGCGTCCATGTGAATGCTGTTGCGTGATTGTCTAGACCCGTTAGTACTTTTAGTCAGGATACAGAGATCATCACATACGGAGGGAGGAGGGGCGCCTGGCTTCTGAGAACACTAACTCACGTACTCCACTGCTGCAGGCTTCTTTGGACCGACCCTGAACAGCTTCATCCACATTCTCATGTACTCCTACTACGGACTGTCCGTGTTCCCGTCCATGCACAAGTACCTCTGGTGGAAGAAGTACCTCACACAGGCTCAGCTGGTACGTCATCCTTTCTCCGCTTCTCCATGGGGCTCACAGACAGTGAAGGAGTAGGCAGCTCGGGCTTCTCTGTGTCAAGGGTGCCTGTTTCTCTCTGTCACAGCCTTGGGGAATCATGCTTTAGCCATTAGAGTATCTTCTCTGTACCAGTAGCTTCTAATGGAAATGTTCTTCTTTGAAGTATATATGAACACTTTAATGTACAACTTAGGTCAAAATAATCTCAACTGTTCCTTTTCCATGAGAAAATAGACAAATATGTGCTTACATAATTTCAAATGAGATTTCTGAGGAGGACAATGGGCCATTGAGACAGTTTTCCTGATTTGCTTCTAAAGAATATAGCAAGTGACAGTAGTCACATGTAGACCACTAGAGCCCCCACCACAGGGCCTGTCCTCACCCGCAGCCTCTCTGCCTTCCAGGTGCAGTTCGTCCTCACCATCACACACACGCTGAGTGCTGTGGTGAAGCCCTGCGGCTTCCCCTTTGGCTGTCTCATCTTCCAGTCTTCCTATATGATGACGCTGGTCATCCTGTTCTTAAACTTCTATATTCAGGTATGTAAGATGCAAGTGTTCAGGGGCAGCATATCAGACAGTCCATTGCACTGTGTGTTTAGTATAACAGTGTGCACAGGTGAGGGGAGCACCTCCACAGTGTGCACAGGAGGAAGGAGAACACCTCCTAACTCCTTTTCCCACATCCTCTTACTCCAAGAACAGCCTACACACAGTCCAGTTGCGTTTGTTGATAACTCGTTCCGAAAGACTGTGTCATGTCTCCATGTGCGTTTTCGTCATGGCACCAAATCTGACATCTGAAGGCTGAACAGGTGTAGTGACACAGAGGGAGCTGGAGCAGAGAACAGCTTGGGGACAGTGGTGTTTAATAATCCTTAAGCCTCTGTCAGCTGAGGCAGTGTTTGGGAAAATTCCTTTAAGGCAAACCAGCATGGAAAGGGCATGCTGGCTCTTTCTTTGTCAAGTGACATTTTCTTTTCAATTAACAATTTAAATGAGAGAGTCCCTCAAAGTGACTTTGTTATTTAAGAGGCCATGTAGGCTGTGGTAGGAAAGGTCTCAGGTGGTTATGGATTTTAAATTGCTGGGCTAGAGAAATGGAAAGGCTGTTTCAAACAAAAAAAAAAACCCATAATTTGTATTAAAACAGTACTTTTGAAGTTCTATTCAAATATTTTCTTCTCCAGACAGTTACTCTTATATTTTGTTTTTGTTCCATGGTGCTTTTATATAAAGGGTCACTGTGGGAACGGGGCCTTTGCCAGCTCTTCAGATTGTGTGTTTCTGGACTGGACTGACTGGCTTTTGCCTCTTGTAACAAATAAGTTTCCTTTGAGGATGTGTAAATAAAGAACCATCAGTAGGACCAAACAGACCCATGCATGTGCACCAAACATGGAAGGAACAGCAAGGCTCCCTGCAGCCCCACAGTGGTAGGCTAGAGCTACAAAAACGATCTCCACACACTGGTTCAACTGAATCTCGGCTCTGACTTCACATCATCCCAGTCTTGACACTTGCTAATACTATCATCGCCTCTGAAAAAGTAAAACTGCTGTTATCCTAGCACCAAGGATAGGGGCAGGAGATCAAGGTCTGTTACGTAGCAAGTTGGAGGTCAGCCTGAGCTGTAAGAGACCTTGTCTCAACACACACACACACGATGACAGATCAGGTAGTTATGACGAAGAGGGCCATCTGAGGCTGGCGTAGAGCTCTGTGCCAGTTGACATATTTAACATGCATGAGACCTTGCCTTCAATCTGTAGTACTAAAAGCCCTGCTAGAATCCGATGTAATTAAAATGCAATCTCAAACTAAAAAACATAAAATAACAGCTCCTTTTACTCTGAATTTTAAAGGAAGTTATGTTTTTCCAAGTGAACAACTAATGTGATTCGAACACTAGCCAATTATGATGTCACACAGATAAAGTGACGTAGCCTTGACTGACATTCATGTATCTGCGTTGGTTTTTACCTGATCTTTGCTGCAGAGGCTTAAAAAGGAACAAATTCTTATTAGAAGGCCCAGAGCCAAGGAAAATTGTGTAAGTACTTTGACTATATGCTATGTCGGAGGTTAGAGACAAGGCCTTATTAAAACGTTTTTTTTCTCCTGTCTACACTCTGACAGACATACCGAAAAAAGCCAGCGAAGAGAGAGCTGCAAGAGCAACCTGCAGGGAAAGAAGTGAAGAACGGTTTCCCCAAAGCCCACTTCATTGCGGCAAATGGCATGACGGACAAGAAGGCGCAATAAAATGAAGTCCAGGGAAACAAACTGACAGCGGCGGCGGTGGCGGCGGCGACCAGATGAGCTTGTTTTAAAGCAGAGACTGAATTGAAAGTTGTATGTTTTAGCATAAACTAATTCCTTTTGCGTTTGTAAATCATTTGTACCCAGAATGTATTATAATATATTGCTATTAGGTTACTCTATTAACTGGAGCGATGCCGACCTCTACAAAGCTCACAACAGGTGCACGGCGCCCTCTCCTGCGCTCTTCGCAATGCCTTATTCATGTAGAAAACCAGGAGACTCGGGCTTTGTGTTTCGTGGCAAGTCTTCAGAGTTAATTTTCTTTAGATTAAATGTGTAAAAATGTTAATTGTATTGTAAATGTCAGGGTCTGTTCTAGTCTATGTCAAGCAATAACTGTCAGTGCATAAATCGATGAGTCCACTGTTGCTTAAGGCAGCAGCCCCAGGAAAGCATTTAAATGAGATCCTTAGCAAGACAGAATCCAGCAAACCCCTTCCTCTCTTACGCCAGGAGTCTCATCTGCTACATTTTTAAAAAAACCACCTCTGATTTTAAACTTAGTGACATAGTAGTGAAATTTGTTCATCTTCAATATAATTTGAAGATAGTCATTCTGTAAAGGGACAGCTTCTTGAGCTGGGTATAGTGGCACTCGTCTGTGAGTCCAGCACTTGAGTATTGGGCTGGGTATGGTGGCACTCATCTCTGAGTCCAGCACTTGAGTATTGGGCTGGGTATGGTGGCACTCATCTCTGAGTCCAGCACTTGGGTATTGAGCTGAGTATGGTAGCACTCATCTGTGAGTCCAGAACTTGGGTACTGAGACAGCCTGGGATACGCAGGCACAAGACTCTGTCTTGACCAGGAAAAAAAAAATGTTTGCCAAATCATTATAACTCAGGGGCTTTGGACAGAGCCATCTCTCAGTTTCAATTGGCTTCCTTACTCATCCATCCCTGTCTTCCTCCCTTGTTAGTCTGGATTCATGGAGTTACGTTCCCCACATCCAAAGCCAGTGTCTACATACAGCTGCCATGCCCTCTCTGAACAAAAGCTGGAGTCCAGTTGCAGTTCTTCTTGGCACAGAAATGCAACTGGAATACTTATAAATCATCATCAACAGAAATCCAGGGACAAAACAGACATCCTATCTGTCCGCTGCTGCTGCTGAGCCTGCTCGTGAACATTACTGCAGGCAGTTGCTATCAAGCTCCATGAATTTTAACTTTTAAGTTTCAGAAAGGAGAAAAGGATATAGTAGTCATTTGGAAAGATCCCGTGGGCTGGGAATAGGACATAATGATGTGTCTGGCCCAAGCAGCAGTGCCCTCCCTGCTTAGAACTGTGGTCTCTGTGGAGAAGCTAGTACAGAGGCAGACCACGGCACTGGACTGCTTCCTTTCCCTCAAACTGATGGAGCACCACTATTAAACTATACCAAGCATGAAAAAGTGCATTGTTCAAAACGTACACAAAACACAACTTGCTCTATTTTCCCTCCATTTTAGCAAATATGTTCTTGGTTCATGGCACCGGCATCCAGCACATGGGCACCAGGTAGGCTTTCCTCGAGTGCCAACAGTGGGGCCTGCCCACCCCTGTCTTCTTATTCTCTTTCTGGGCAAGCTCCCATTTTAACTTTTCCCTGTTAAAAATTGCACTGACGTTTTTAAACTCGTAAGTATACTGCCCTTCTCGCTGGTGTATTTTGAAAAGCACCACAGTCCGATGTCCTGTGCCATCTCTGTCATTCCTGTTGAACAGACTCTTCCTGTCTGGTGACCACCTATGCTTCAATGCGTTTTCTAAACAATTTTCTCAAACTGAACTGCTCCCAGGTGCTTTGTTACCACCATATCTCTGGTGACTTAGACTCAAGTTGGTGTATTCTTTCCCAAGAATTCATTTTAAGAGTTAGCTTTGAGTATGTTATTGTGCTTCTATGACAATACCAAAGGAATAAACTCCTTGGTGAATCTGGAGTTCAGCTTTAGTTTTCAAACACAATCTGAAGTCTGTTACTAAAATGAATTCTGGGTAAAAATGAGACTCGGGCGGTATCACTGGTCATTGCATCAGATTATTCTTGCTTGCCAGTGAGAGGCACTGAAGTCACGCTGTGCATCACACCTTCAGTTTAGGGTGTTTTCATGACCTCACATCTGTGTAGCACAAAGGGTGTTGCCTTCCTATGGAAGATCAACAATGGCAGCTCAAAGTACCAGCCAGCTTTAGACCTCCCAGAGCAAAGCTCAGGGCAGCACTAAGCCTTAAACCACCCAGGGGCTGACCAACCATGCAGAGCTATGAAATCTGTGCTGAGAAAATGCAATCTGGAAAGATTTTAACCCATTCATTCTTAGTGTGAATTTTCTAAAATAGAAGTATAAAAAATTTGTCTCTATAATCTGATAAAAAATAAAAACCTGTGTTTTCCCAAGTAAATTCCCTTTTATTCATGAGAACAAAAGTACTTGGATACTATAAAACTTAAATTTCCCCAACTTTTAAAATAAAATGGAATATTTGCTGAATGAATTAAGCATAGAAAATGTCAACCCATCAGAATTATATTTATACATATTGGTGGATAAGTTCCTGTCTTCCCACATCAGAGAATTATTTTTTTTACCAAAATGGGCAGAATAGCATTTTGTATGTTAGAGACCATTCTTTGATAGTCCTTCTGAAACATTCCTTTGTCATTTAAGAATGTTAGTAGAGGTCGCTTCTTTGGAAATTGAGGACTTTTTGTTTTCCTTTGAAAGTATGGCATCTGAAGAACATAGTATCATGACTCGGGTGGAAAGGGAGGCAGAAGCCATTTTTCTTTTAGATGAAAAGCATTCTGTGTGATTGTTGTATAATAAATTGATTTTTACACTAAAACATTGTCATTTTTTTATTTGGCTCAAAAAAACTAAAATGTGGGTCTGTGTGATAATTCTAAGTTGCCTATTATTCAGAGGCTGTATCTACCAACAAAGTGATATATTAGCGATTAATCTTAGGTTCTTAATTCGTTTCAGTAAGCACTGGAGTGTTTAACATTATTAATGCAATATTTATATACCCAGCTAAACTAAGAAGCTGGCTACTCATAAGGAAAACTTAATAGCAATCAGATAAGCAGAGGCTGCAACTATTAGAAACTACTTACTATACAGTATAAAAATATAGCATGCTTTACTGTATATATTATAGTACCGTAACTATATCATAGCACACTACACTATGCAATGGGAACACACAGAACATTGGTTACCAATACCCTGGGCACCTGCAGTGTCAGTGGTGATTTCTTCTCAGGAGCGGAAGCAAGGCCACAGTCTGGTGTTTGTCAGCATAGAGGCTATATTCTCTGCCATAATGAAGATCCCAAGACACCAGCTTGGAAGTAGCCTTAATAGTTATGCTCAATGTCTGACCTAAAGTTGCTTACATTCCAAGGTAGAAATGGTTAGGGCAAGGGAGTTAGGAAGGCAAAGGCAGGGAAGGGCAGAAGGATCTTGGAGTGAGTAGGGACTAGAGTTTAGGGAGAAGGTGAAGATTTTAAAGAGCCTTGTTTCACTTCATTATGTTAAGCTGTGGTTGGGATAATCTCATTAAAAATTTGTTTTTAAAACTAAAAGACAAGGAAGAGTGACACATTCCTGCAATCCCAGCATACAGAAAGCTGAGGCAGGAGGATGTCTCTGAGTTAAAACCACTTTTGGATATAGTAGGTTGGTTCCTGGAAATTTTGGCTGTCTCAAAAAATATATAATATACCCAATGTTTCTATGATAAATTAGCTATTGCAAATTAAAAGAATTGTTTTATAATAAACACCTAATGTCTCTTTAACACTTCATTTAAAGAAAAGCTTCAGCATACATTTTTACTGTTGAAGGCCTTCTTCCAAGTCAGATGACCTTCACATATTTAAGCTCCTTTCTGAGACAGGTAAGAAAACATTCACCCTTACAGATTACCGTCACCTAAATATTCCTTGGCCTTTAGTAAATGTGACTTGGTCATGGAGTGGAACAGTATAAGCCATTTTCCAACAAGGCACAAATTCTTAAAGAGTACACAACCTCCTTTAATCATATCTCAAGCTGAGAACCAAATATTCAAACACATTAGCTTATTGGAGACATCATACATCCAAGTCATACTAAAGCCTTTATTTTTCAAACCTAGCTTACTCACAGATTTTTGGATTAACTCTGAAAATGTCATATTCAATAAAAAGGTTTTTATCGAATCAATGCTATATAGTTTTATGCATTGTAGTAGAGACACAAAATTATCCAGATGAATATATGCCCTTGGAATCATAGTCTTGGAGGGAACATTTAGCTATAAAACATTAAAAATGATTTACACCAAGAAGAGTTTCCAAAAGAGTTTACTACCAAACTTGGTTTTGGTGGTTGAATTCAAATAAAGAATTTTATTCCACTAGATTCATGGGGGCTGCATCTGTGCAGCCAGACATAGGGATGTCAACACCCATAGTGGGCTGAGACTTTTCAGTGATAGTTATGTTGGGGTCACTCATTCACCTGCCCATCCCAAGAAGACTGCATGCCTGTGAGAGTTGAGACTTACCTGTCAACCAGGTGGGGAGTACACATCTGTGAGTCCTCAGTCCTGCCTTCCCAAGAAGAGCTCTACCCTATATGTCAATGCAATGAAGTGTGTCCAAGATGACAAAGCCTCATGCACTCTGGTGAGCAGTGTATCCAGAAAGCATAAGTCCAGGCCATTGCCCCCTGTCCTTTCAGTGTATCTTCAAGACTTCATACTCTACCACATACCAACATGCAGGAGAGCACAGCCCTGCCAATCACCCTGTGAGGTTAATGTGTCTGGAACACATCAGTTCCACTTATCACTCCAGTAAGAACAGGGTACCCAGGAGGCTCTATCCCCACCATGGCCCAGGGGAGTGCTCCTCTCTCTCTCCTATCCCTGCCCCCAGGGATAACAATAACCTAGTATATTACCAACAGTTTAAATACTGCTCTGAAAGAAAAAAAATTAGTTAACACAATAAATTCAACAAATGTCCTAGCTCCCTACATGAAAATGCAAGTATAAAAGAATCAAGAAAACCTAATCTTACAGTAATGGCCTCTGGTGTGGAGGTGGAAATCAGACTAAGATAATGAGAACCGGTCAAATAAAAACTGTGTAGGGCTTCACCAATAGATCAAGGGAAGTATAAAATAGATGGGTTCAAAGATGAGGTGGGGGTTGGAACATTCCAATAAGGATGAAGATTAATTGGTCAAGAAGCATGGACAGGACTTAAAAGATGCAGAATACTCTGCAATGACCACATCATGGGCATAAAAGAAAGGGAATTCCCTTCTAAAGAATAGCATGCATTTTAAATGAAACCACAGCAGAAATTTCCTTAAGTTAGGCAAAAAGAAAGCAAAAACAAAAAAACAAAAAACAAAAAGACAAGAGAGAAGAAAATAAGGAAATAAGAAAGAAAGAAAGAAAGAAAGAAAGAAAGAAAGAAAGAAAGAAAGAAAGAAAGAAGAAAAAATGCCTATACAGATACTGGAGGCATTTAGACCAGAAAAGGACTCCTTTCTTCATGTCATAATTAACTCTCTAAATACTGAGAAGAAAGTATAGTGACAGTGACCACAGAGAAGCCACAACTGCAACTCATGTGGCAGAGGCAGACCTATCAGAATAACCATGATTCTCAACAGAAAATAGGAAAGCTGCAGTGGGCTGGGGGCACTTGGGATGATGCATGGGTGGGGAGGCTGTTGAGATGATCGCTTTCCAAGTTTTAAAAGACAACAATTGCCAATACACACTATTATACCCAGAAAAGCTATCAGTTATAATTGGACACTACTATATCCAGCAAAGCTATCAGTCATAATTGGAGAAAGAAAAACATTCCACAGCAAATAATAATAATAACAGATTGAAGGAATTTAGGACTACTAAGCCAGCTCTAGTTAAGATACTTGAAGGAAATTTTAGTGGAAAGACAAATACATCCATAGGGTAACAAGGAAGAATAAACCACTCCTAAATAACAATTACACAAATGAGGAATAGAAAATCACCAAATAATACAAAGCCAAGAAAGCAATAGGAAATTACATACACCTTTCCATAAGTTTAAATACTAATGGTTTCAATTTTCCAGTCAAAAGACAAGAGTCTGCTCCTGAAAAGATGGCTCTGTGGGTAAAGTTGAGCAAGCATAGAGAGCTGAGTTCAGATCCCCAGAACCCTTCTAAAGTCCTACATAGTAGTAAGTTACTATATAACCCTAGCACTGGGGATGGAGAAAGACAGACCTCAGGGGCTCACTGGCCAATTCTCTCCATTGACTGTTTACTTTGCTGTTCAGAAGCATCTTGATTTCCATAAAGAGCTATTAGTAATAGATACTCTCTCAACAATGAAGCGTAGAAATGGTGGAGGAAAGGCATCTCCATATTACTCAGTGGCTGGCCTTGTGTGAGGATTCAGTCTCACCTGCCTTACACAAGGAACTCACTAGAAAAGCTGAATCCACTATCTACTCTTTTGACTTGCCTGACAATTCTCATTTTGTGTCAGAACAATGGGAGTGTGTAAGGTACAGCTATGTTAGAGAGGCAGAAGCAAAGTTCAAAGAGAGATCCGAGGCAGCTGGGTTCCTCGATACCCCAGAAAATAAACTCAAAACATACTTCCCTGTGAAATGCTCTGGTCATTTATTGTCTCTAATCTATGCACAGGGAATCCACAAGAGCCCTGAGCCTTAGGAATGGCTGTCTTCAAGCTCAACAAAGAATTTTCAACTGAATTTTCAATGGTTGTGAAGTACCTAAAGAAATGTTCAACATCTTTAGTCATCAGGGAAATGCAAATCAAAATAACCCTGAGATTCTACTTCACACCAGTCAGAATGGCTAAGATTAAAAACTCAGGTGATAACAGATGCTGGCGAGGATGTGGAGAAAGAGGAACACTCCTCCATTGTTGATAGGATTGTAAGCAACCACTCTGGAAATCAGTCTGGTGGTTCCTCAGAAAATTGGACATAATATTACCTGTGGATCCATCAATACTACTCCTGGGCATATACCCAGAAGATGTTCCACTATGTTCGTAGCAGCCTTATTTACAATAGCCAGAAGCAGAAAAAACCCAGATGTCCTTCAACAGAGGAATGGATACAGAAAATGTGGTATATTTACCCAGTGGAGTATTACTCAACTATTAAAAACAATGAATTCATGAAATTCTTAGGCAAATGGATGGAACTAGAATATATCATCCTGAGTGAGGTAATCCAATCACAAAAGAACATACACAGTATGCACACATTAATAAGTGAATATTAGCCCAAAATCTCACAATACCTAAGACATAACTCACAGACCACATGAAGCCCAAGAAAAAGTAAGACCAAAGTATGAGTGCTTCGGTCCTTCTTAGAAGGAGTAACAAAATACTCATAGGAGCAAATATGAGACAATGTGTGGGGAAGAAACTGGAGGAGAGACCATCCAGAGTCTGCCCCACCTGAAAATTCCTCCCAGATGCAATCACCATATGCAAACACTGCTGTGGATGTCCAGAAGTGCATGTCGACAGGAGCCTGATATACCTGTCTCCTGAGAGGCATTGCCAGAGCCTGACATATACAGAGGCAGATGTTCACAGCTAACCATCAAACTGACCACAGGGTTCCCAGTGGAGGAGTTAGAAGACTGAAGGAGTTGAAGGGGCTTGTGGCCCCACTCTGGGTCTAAACAGCTAGCCTGGGAACACACACAGAAGGACCCATGTCTCTAACTGTATTTGTAGAGAATGGACTTATCCAGCATCAGTGGGAGAGGAGGGTCTTGGTCCCTTGGAGGCTGGATGCCAGA